ACATACTCCAGTACCACCTCAGTGACTCACATACTCCAGTACCACCTCAGTGACTCACATACTTCAGTACCACCTCAGCTACTAACATACTCCAGTGCCATCTCAGTGACTCACATACTTCAGTACCACCTCAGTGACTCACATACTCCAGGACCATCTCAGTGACTCGCATACTCCAGTACCACCTCAGTGACTCACATACTCCAGTACCACCTCAGTGACTAACATACTCCAGTACCACCTCAGTGACTCACATAGTCCAGTACCATCTCAGTGACTCACATAGTCCAGGACCATCTCAGTGACTCGCATACTCCAGGACTATCTCAGCGACTAACATACTCCAGTACCATCTCAGTGACTCACATAGTCCAGGACCATCTCAGTGACTCGCATACTCCAGTACCACCTCAGTGACTCACATAGTCCAGTACCATCTCAGTGACTCACATACTCCAGGACCATCTCAGTGACTCACATACTCCAGGACCATCTCAGTGACTCACATACTCCAGTACCACCTCAGCGACTAACATACTTCAGTACCACCTCAATGACTCACATACTCCAGTACCACCTCAGTGACACACATACTCCAGTACCACCTCAGTGACTCACATATTCCAGTACCATCTCAGTGACTCACATACTTCAGTACCACCTCAATGACTCACATGGTTGAGTTTGTCATACAAATTGTTTTGATAAATGATGTTGTAGAAGTATTTTATTTCTATATATTCTCAAATCTGATTCTCAAGGAATTCTGACTGATGTATTTTAACATCAGGAGTAAATGCAATTGAAGAGTTCTTTAGGTCTGAATATAGTAACCTTCACATAATAGTAGTGTATTGTGTGATTATTGTCCTCAGTTAATATTTTGATGTCTGTTTGTATTTTCTTTAAAATTCCTCCAGTAAGATGTAAGTATCATGTGTGACTAGGAGAATTCAGTCATGATTTCGCTTCTGACTGTTACAGTACATCAGTGAGGGGAATAGAAAACATGTTGTTTTTTACAGCTAAAACCCCACCAGTCTTAAAGCATAGAACTATAACTTTGTGGACAGCTGTCAAACTATTGATATTGTTACAACACAGTCACACAGTCTTTTTATAGGATTCCCTCTCTATGGAAGCCTTATATTAATTCATTAAAAAATAACAAGAACTTGATTAAGACTACATGCTTCATCCATGACTGCTATTATTGTTATTATGGAGTAACTGTCAGAACTCTTAAGCCAGCTTTTTGCTATCTTTTTTTTTTAGGCAATGTTTGCTTATTTTGCTAGCGTAAATCTTATCTGCTATGGATTATTTCATATCACTGAAAGTTAAAACATTTCTGACTGAATCTCTTGTTATACCTGGTTGAATTTAATCAGATTTGATACAATGTGTATCATTTTGCTCCAAACAAAATGCGCTATAAATTTTGGACCATTTGGACCTGTTGTCAGCTCACCTTGTACCAAAAGACTTCTCCTTTGATACACTACTAGTCCAATTTGGTCTGGAGCATCCTCAGGCCAAGGACACTCAATTTTGTATAAGCGTTGGGTGTGATCCCCATGGGGGCAGAGGAACAGGACCCAATAGGGGAAATAGAGGTCAAACCTTTAAAATCCTTCTTCTACCATAGGGATAATGGGATTTTATCCAAATTTGGTCTGGAGCATCCTTGGGCCAAGGGGACTCAATTTTGTATAAATGGTGGGTGTGGCCTCCCTGGGGGCAGAGGAACAGAGCACAATAGGGGAATTAGAGGTAAAACCTTTAAAATCATTCTTCTACCATAGGGATAATGGGATTTTATCCAAATTTGGTCTGGAGCATCCTTGGGCCAAGGGGACTCAATTTTGTATAAGCGTTGGGTGTGATCCCCATGGGGGCAGAGGAACAGGACCCAATAGGGGAAATAGAGGTCAAACCTTTAAAATCCTTCTTCTACCATAGGGATAATGGGATTTTATCCAAATTTGGTCTGGAGCATCCTTGGGCCAAGGGGACTCAATTTTGTATAAACGGTAGGTGAGGCCCCTTTGGATACAGTGGGGCGGACTCAAAAGGGGAATTTGAGGTTTAAATCTTTCTTAAATCCTTCTCCTTCTGTACCACTGGAGGGATTTTATCCAAATTTGGCCTGGAACATCCTTGTGCAAAAGGGAGAATTTGTAAAAACAGAGGGTGTGGCCCCTCTGAGTGCAGAGGGGCTAGTCCAAAATGGGAACTTGAGGTTTAAATCTTTAAAATCCATCTCTTCTGTACTATTGGAGTTATTTCATCCAAATTTGGCAGGGAGCATACTTGGGCAAAGGGAACTACATTTTGTATACATGGAGGGTGTGCTCCTCTGGGTGCAGAGTTGCAGGGCCCAATAGGGGAATTTGAGGTTTAAATATTCAAAATCCTTCTACCATTGGAGGGATTTTATGTAATAAGAATAATTTCTCATGGTTGCTTTATTATTTAAGTGAGTGATACAGGCCCTCTGAGCCTCTTGTTTAAAAGTTAACTCTGATCAATTGGTATGTAGTGTTCATTTTTGTGACGTGTCATCGAGAGTTTATGCCAATCAACCCGTATATGTTCTCAATGATGTCATTGCTCTACAGACATCATTTCTTATCTGATTGATGTGTTCTAGAATATCATCTCTTGTATGAGATTGCATTTCAACCTTCTGGGGTAAAAAGCAATGTCTCTCATACTATAAATAATATTTTGGCTTTGTTGCTTTACAAAGTCACCTAGCTAATTGTCATGAAACTTCACATAAATTCATATATGCTCGTATACTTCATACTACCTGCATTTAGATATGCTGATGTCATAACCTATAACAGGTTTTAGTGTTTTATCAATTTCAAGTGTTTTTTAAAGACAGGTTTCACTTCAGCTTAAAATGTTTATGTGGCATTCTAGATATCTGAGACTTACTATTGATGTTCGAAAGGTAATCAACATGAGCAGACAAGCTTAACAGTTGACAATAAATATCATTTAACTGGCATTGCCTTGTTTGTTGCAGTTGTGTTACGTGAGACGGGGACTTCACCAATGAAGCAAGCTGTAACAAAGGATTCACTAACTCCATCCCCCTCCCCAGCCAAACTACATGAGCAGAAGATGGCCCACAATCACACCCTCCGACAACTCAAACAGGCCAAGCAGAGGGTCCATAACCTACAACAACAGGTATATTGACCTTAGATAAGGTAAACAGGACAAATTGTTAACCCCACGGGACTTCCACAACTCGCAGCTTCTATCATATATTAGGCAAAACTCAGTCACTTATCTAAAAACTCCTCAGATATTCTGGAACATCCTTGGATTCCAACCCCATTCTTCTAATTTTACAGTATTTGTAATCCTCCAAAATGTTGCAAATTTGACTACTGGATATAATAGAAAAATACATGGAAAACTTTTGAAATAAAGGTCAACTTACTGTAATCCTGAGGTTGGATTCGTAAACTTTACTTAAGAATGGTATAAAAAAAATTCTAACAGTTTAAATGTTTTCATGATATTGAGACTTTGTTCAAGCAAATGTATGTTTTAAAAATTACTTCTTTTTGAATTGATTTTACAGGTAACTAACCTTCGAGATTCAAGGGCAGCGACTCTGAAGGCCTTCCAGGAACACAAAGATGCCAGTCAGCAGCTGGAGTCAGACCTTAACTTAGCCAATCAGAGACTTCGTGTCTCAAAACAAAACATTCAGGTACGCCCTTCAATCAGGTGTGTTACCCTGGAGAGTCAGACCTTCACTTAGCCAATCAGAGACTTGGTGTCTTAAAACTAAACATACAGATACACCCCTCAATCAGGTGTGTTACCCTGGGGAGTCAGACCTTCACTTAGCCGATCAGAGACTTTGTGTCTCAAAACAAAACATTCAGGTACGCCCTTCAATCAGGTGTGTTACCCTGGAGAGTCAGACCTTCACTTAGCCAATCAGAGACTTAGTGTCTTAAAACTAAACATACAGATACACCCCTCAATCAGGTGTGATACCCTGGGGAGTCAGACCTTCACTTAGCCAATCAGAGACTTTGTGTCTCAAAACAAAACATTCAGGTACGCCCTTCAATCAGGTGTGTTACCCTGGAGAGTCAGACCTTCACTTAGCCAATCAGAGACTTGGTGTCTTAAAACTAAACATACACATACACCCCTCAATCAGGTGTGTTACCCTGGGGAGTCAGACCTTCACTTAGCCAATCAAAGACTTTGTGTCTCAAAACAAAACATACAGGTAGACCCTCAATCAGGTGTGTTACCCTGGGGAGTCAGACCTTCACTTAGCCAATCAAAGACTTTGTGTCTTAAAACTAAACATACAGATACACCCCTCAATCAGGTGTGTTACCCTGGGGAGTCAGACCTTCACTTAGCCAATCAAAGACTTTGTGTCTTAAAACTAAACATACAGATACGCCCCTAAATCAGGTGTGTAACCCTGGGGAGTCAGACCTTCACTTAGCCAATCAGAGACTTTGTGTCTCAAAACAAAACATACAGGTACACCCTTAATCAGGTGTGTTTCCCTGGGGCTCATTTATGAGGAAACCATTGAAAGGCTTCATATAAGGATAAAATTGTCTTGTGAGATAAATAACTAGATAAATAACAACTTCAGATCAAAAAAGTAGAACGCTAACAATTTCTTTGCAAATATCGGTACATTTGAAAATGATGTACAATGTATTATGCATAAAAGTCAGCTTTTGTTCAGAACTGAAATACAGGTTACTGACTGAATTTGTTTTACACAAAATCTTACTGACAGCAATGTTATTTCTAAATCTCAGGAAAGACATTTTTCAAGTGTTGACTCTAGTCAACCCATTGACCCAATAAATACTGGTATATGCAAGGAAGTACATCTGTTATGGACAGGTATTCATTTAGGAGTTTTATTGGATTATCTATCATCAACTTACTTCATAAACAAAAACTTAATGTTGTTCAAACTTGACTCCAGCATATTTTACTTCTAGACAAGATGTCTATTTGAACGTGTTTTAAAACTTGATCTGGATTTTTCACCACAGAAAATGAGCAATGATATTGAGAAGTTAGTTAAGGAGAAGGCTCACTTGGAGAGTCAGCAGGTCCTGAGAGAGGAGACGGTCACTCCAGCTGTTAACACCGACAAACGGACAGAACAAGACTGGAAAATGCTGGAAGTAAGACTTAAGGTATGTGTGATTCCTGTGGAACCATGACCCTTTGAATTTAAAGAGAAGGGCCTTTTTTTAGTTATTTCAATCTATTGCAGATTAAAATAGAATTCCAAAGATTCATTTCAATGTTGCAGAATTAACTATTTCTTCAGAATAAAAAAAATTAATGGATCAAGTTTTGACCATAAAAATATTCAAAAAAAATACAGAAATATATTGAGGTGTACATTATTAACAGTTAAGATGACAGCGGTCTGTTGTATGATCAATATTGTAGACCTCCTCCAGTGAAGTCTGTCGTCAGTCAGCCTCACTACGACAGATGAAACAGGAAAACACCAGTCTTCAGGACCAGGTCCGAACTCTTCAGGACAGGTTAGTGCAAGTCAACTTTCTAAATATTTTGTCAGTCCAGTGGGTTCTTCTAAATGAAAAGTCCTGGGTTTTCTCCAGGTTCTCCAGTTTCCTCCGACAGTAGGACCCCCTGTGCGCTAACATCTGGGCCAAGAACAGTGATCAGTATAAGCTCTAAAAACTTGTTTCATAATTGTTGAAAATAAATAAAGTTTATATTTATATATATTTTATACTGAAAAGTCCTATGGGTTTCAACCCCTGTCGGCACATCTATAACCCTCATTCAAATTGTTCCAATCTATACTAATGTAGCTGTACAAATGTGTACTACATGTAGCATGCTTGGAGGTAATTCTTTGATTTACTGGTGTCCTTCCGGGAGGACTCCTTATGCCATGACTATTGAGTAATGTAAAACTCAGGCTAGATGTGAGACACGACTGTGATACACTACTTGTTTTAATGTGTACTGTGTGACTGTGGATACTAACCAGGTTTTACTCTTTGGTACAGAATCAACCACCTGGAGAGAGACAACAACCAGAAACGAACCCTCCTTGAGGATACAAGGAGTAAGCTACGGATCTCACAGGACAGCTCTCGCTCAGAGTCAAACAACATGGTCAGATGATTTTGACTTCAAAATTAATTTTCAGTGATAACTGTGAAAGAATTTTTTTTTATGCAGCAAATGATAAAAATATGTAGCATGTTGTGAGAGAATATCTCATTAGCTGAAATATTGCTCTAAGGTATAATTCAATTCACAGAAAATTTTATAGAAAAAAGTAATTTTGACAAAAAATTTAAACTAATAAAACAAGAAAGTTCAATTTGTTTGAAATTGATTTGTTAGGTCTTGTGTGATGTATAGGTTGTCGTTATATTGCAGTGATCAAATTCAAATAGATATCTAAATTGAATTTTTGTTTGTAGGAAGAAATGGAGACACGAATCAAACTATTACAGGAGGGTGCTGACAGGTCAAGGGTACAGGTAAAAATGACTAGTACTGTTAGGTCACAGATACAGTTAACACTGACTAGGACTGTAAGGTAACATATACAGGTAACACTTGCTAATAGGTCACAGATACAGGTAACACTTACTAATAGGTCACATATACAGTTAACACTGACTAGCACTGTTAGGTAACATATACAGGTAACACTTGCTAATAGGTCACAGATACAGGTAACACTTACTAATAGGTCACATATACAGGTAACACTGACTAGCACTGTTAGGTAACAGATACAGGTAACACTGACTAGTACTGTTAGGTAATTAACAGATACAGGTAACAATGACTAGTACTGTTAGGTAACAGATACAGGTAACACTGACTAGTACTGTTAGGTAACAGATACAGGTAATACTGACTAGCACTGTTAGGTAACAGATACAGGTAACAATGACTAGTACTGTTAGGTAACAGATACAGGTAACACTGACTAGTACTGTTAGGTAACAGATACAGGTAATACTGACTAG